CTCCTCTCTGTCTGTTACTTCAGGAGCCCCTCCCCACGCCCCTCTGAGAGACATTTGGTTAGAAAGAACACAATGGTGCTCTAGGAGGAGATTCAGGTGATAAGGGGGGGGGTTACCTTAGTTGCTGATTGGCTAATGCTTACACAAGACAACACATCGTTATGACATCATAAAGTGGCCAAAATCTGATCAGCTCATTTTCAGACAGGTTTTTATAGAAATGGATCAAAAAGAGAGAGAATCTCTTTCCACAGAGGGGACACATGTTGATGTAGAAGAGACATGAAGAAGAGGGGACACATGTTGATGTAGAAGAGACATGAAGAAGAGGGGACACATGTTGATGTAGAAGAGACATGAAGAAGAGGGGACACATGTTGATGTAGAAGAGACATGAAGAAGAGGGGACACATGTTGATGAAGAAGAGACATGAAGAAGAGGGGACACATGTTGATGTAGAAGAGACATGAAGAAGAGGGGACACATGTTGATGAAGAAGAGACATGAAGAAGAGGGGACTTGGGGAAGTGGATTTTGCATAATAGGAGACCTTTAACTTGCAAAATGTAACACTACCTAAACCTTTACTCCTACCTGCTGATGTCCTGCAGGGTGTTTGTGCTCGCTGACCCGGCTGTGTTCTCTGCTCCACTGGAGGCAGCAGTAAGAGCACATTTCGAGGCGTCCAACTTTCTCAGGGACGCACCAACCATGGAGAGAAATGTGTTGCAACGTGTGCTGCAGACGGGGCTGGGAATGAACTGTCAGAGCTCCAGACTGGCTCAAGCTCTGGAGGTGAGATAGATTATGAAGTCGTTTGGGTAAAGTAAGACAGATATGTTTAGATATTATAACTATTGTGTATTTGGATATTTGGTTCAGACATTCAATCATCTTGCTGGATAACTTGGTGATCCTTTCAGACTTATACTTCCCCAGAGCAAGACATAATCTAAAAACCTCCACATATTCATAGCGGTGAAAAGTAGCCTCAAGAACACTGTAGTGACCACGATATCGATTTGTTTGATTTTTTTTGTTTGTGATTCCCTCATGGGCTGAAAGATGAATAGATGCTTGTTGTTGAGAAAAAAGGAATGTCCAGATGCGATTGAAAAGTAAAATATTCTTGATATTCCAAAAGGTGATGCAAAAAATTAACAAACTATTTCCTACATAAACTGGTACTTAAAGGTATACTAAAAGGAGAAATAAGGAACCAAACTATAGAGTCACACTCCCAAGAATGTAGTCTAAATTGATCAATTATTATAAACTAAGGAAATGGCTCTTACAAACACTGACCAATTCCATCTCCCTTAAACTAGGATTATGTATTATAAATGTCCCTGCTTTGGAACAAATGAAGGATTTCCGATTCAGTATAATCCAGCTTCTTGTTTTTGTGTTTCAGGCTTTAGAGGTACCCATGGTAGAGAAACATTTCCAGGAAGCGGTTCTGGCCGTGGAGAAGAGTTTGAAGCAAGGAGCAGAGGGTCGTGCAAACTATCTGAACAAACTACAACACATTTACAGAGACATCTTGAGTGCCTCTAAAGAAGGTGTGTGTTCTGCACTGATATTCATTAAGATATTGACAGGGTTACCACGACGTTAACGTTACCCTGTGTTTTCAGATGGACCCAGACTAGATCCTGGTTCTGTGCGCAGCACTGCAATGCCTTTCCCAGGGATCAACTTCCTCTTGTGGAGAGAAGAAGAGGATCTATGTGAGTCGATCAGACAAACTATTCTATATTTCTGTCAGTAAAATCCAGTTGATGCAGTAAAAATGTACACTTACTGAATGTGTCCCAAAGGGAATCTGCTGGCAAACTTCGCCTGCTCTAACTCAGCCAGTGTTGATGAAGAGGAGAAGGACAAAAGGGATTCAGTCCAGTCTAGAGACAGTGGCATAGTGAGAGATCTGAACGACTGTGACGACTCAGCGAAATCTCCGGTAAGCAATCATGCACCAGCAATCGTACGAAGAAATGGCTATAAGAGCTCAAGCTCAGCAGATAAACTGAGTCTCGTGAGGGATAAGATAGAAGCATGTCCTGGAAGTTCTCCTCTCCTCGATGAAAACAGAGGTCGGCACACAGCCAGGGTCGTGGTACTGGGAGACAACCGTGTGCTGGGAAGACTTTCCAAGGCTTGTCACTCGATCCGGTGAGTTACTGGTTTGTTCTTCTTCCACAAAGTGTATCATCACATGTGTTTCTAATCTCGAAACCCATCGGTCAGATGACAATTTAGTCTTTGGCGGAACGTGGCAATATTGTTATGGGATATCTGAACTATGACTTCCTTGTATGTGTGCCCCTTAATTGCTTACAGTCCAATTAGCAACTTAAGACGTGAGAATGGAGATGGAGTAGAAAGACTGCGGGAAGGATTGGATTGTCTCACAAGTAGACTCTTGACACGCTGATTTTAGGCTAATAGAAAGTCATCCTTTTTAGAAATGCAACACTTCAATCAGGAATGATTGGGAAGAAAAATAGGATCAATGCATTCCCAAATGCATTTTAGGAGCCACTTAGGAAAAACCTGGCCTTTGGTAGGAGGTTATTAATCTAGTAATTATGATGAGGAGATGCATTAGCCATTTAGCCAATGTTTGTCCTCTAGCCAGAAGGTTTTTCAAAGCTATTACATCACTTTTGAATTTAGGGACGGAGGGTAAAGGGGGAGAAATAGTGCATCAAGAGCATTTAGTTCAATTGAGGCCCCAATTAGTTCCGATAATATCTTGACAATAGTTATGTAATGATGGGAAACTCTAGCACATGTGGATGAGTTATGCTGGACTTTGCCAAGACCTATGCAAAATGTTTTTTAAGATGGGACTCAAGCCAATGTGTTTGGCTTGTTCTCGACACGGACTGTTTACTTGCAAAGAACCACGGCCCGCTTAAATTGGTTAAAACTACTTCAATGAAAAACGGAAACCTCTTGGTATGCATGCAGAATCTTCTAATAGAGAAGAATGTTTCTTAAACCTTTTCTGCTTTTGCATTATGTCTGTGCACTTCTATAAGTTCACTCATCTTACCACCACTGTTTTCCATGTGTTTCCCAACAGAAAAAGAGAGTCAAAACATCTCATTTTGACCAATAAACTGAACATACGGTTGTACTACATCCCAGTCACTGATGGGGCTCCTTCGCTCAGTTCAACTGTGAGTTACACTCAAAGCTAAACTAACTGCCCTAATTGAAGTACAGTACATGACCCTAATATGTCTGTTATTTCTCAAAGGGAAGCCCATGTCTGGATGGAGGCACATTGTCTCTTTCTTCTTTATTGGGAAGAGTGGATCCATGGTACAACAGCAACATCAACAGTCTGGGAGCTGCAATCTCCAAACTGTCTGGAAAGGTAACCATAGATTAGACAAGACAGTGATGCTAGCAGCTCTTAATTTAGACGGTCTCATGACTTCATGTCACTACCGCTAAGCTAAAGGCGGTTGATGTTGGGCTATAAAGGAACTACAGCAGGGTCACATGACTTCACGTCACCACCGCTAAGCTAAAGGTGGCTAATGTTGGGCTATAAAGGAACTACAGCGTGGTCACATGACTTCATGTCACCACCGCTAAGCTAAAGGTGGCTAATGTTGGGCTATAAAGGAACTACAGCACGGTCACATGACTTCACGTCACCACCGCTAAGCTAAAGGCTGATAATGTTGGGCTATAAAGGAACTACAGCACGGTCACATGACTTCACGTCACCACCGCTAAGCTAAAGGTGGCTAGTGTTCGGTGTGATGACACGTAGTAGTGTTATTTCAACCCAGTCTCACGGCATTTCGTGTAATAGTCACAAAATAAATGTAATCTATTGATTCGTGTTCACCAACACGACTTCCCCCTTTTTTTCGTGTCACACAGAACGATTTTAATAGCAATGTATATATATATTGGTAGTATGTTTTGTGCAGGGACGTGAACAGGTACGGGCTAATGTTGCCCGAGCAACAGCCCGTTTGGCCTTTTTGGCTGACCTGCCCCTCTGGAGAGAGCGAGNCATTTAGCTATCAAGTAGCTAGCGAAATATAAACGCAACACTTTTGTTTTTCCTCCCATTTTTCATGAGATGAACTCAAAGATCTAAAACATTTTCTATTATAGAAAATGTTTTAGATCTTTGAGTTCATCTCATGAAAAATGGGAGGAAAAACAAAAGTGTTGCGTTTATATTTCGCTAGCTACTTGATAGCTAAATGCTGAGACCAGGGGCCTCATTTATAAAGCCTTGCGTAGGATTCACGTGGGAAGGTTGCTTACGTGAACAAAGCACATCCGCCGGTTTCGCTTTATAAATCACAATCAACTCGAAATGCGGCGCAACTTCACGAGCTTCACGAGCTTCACGAGCTTCACGAGCTTCACGTAACGCCCATATTTGCGTATAAATAGTCAAAGAAACGCCCCGTGTTAATATTCATTTTGACTGACTGCATGAAGAAGATCGCAGGAAATGACGACAGA